ATGATTAACTTTTTTCTCTAAACTATCCATATAAGCCACCCAGAGGCTGCCAATACTTTTTTCTTTAAACTGTATGACTACCTGTATGTATACTGGAAAAAATAATCATCTTTCATTCAAACACATTGTATATAACAAGAGAAAGAGACACTCATCTTTTCCTTATATAGGAAGAGAATGGCAATTACTTTGATAATTAAAACAAAAACCAGGGAATGTCTTATGTAATTATATAAATTGTGCTGGAAAAATACTAATTGCTACTCAGATCTCTTATAAGTTCCATACACCTACAAACAAGTCAAACTAACTCCCTATTTTAAACTTTTCTGGCATTTTAGGTGATACTGAAAGTCAGCAAAGCACAATGTATGATCCCCCTCCTGGCTATACTGTTGGTGGGGCTAATGCCTTTTTACCCTATGGGCTTGACCCTTCTGCGAGACCAGAAGCTGGGCAGAGGTAAGGTGTCATAATTTGAATGTCTTTTGGAAAGTTGGAATTTACAGTAAGTTGAGTGTTATGGAAGTGTGAATTGTTGATTAGTTTTTTGTTGTGTAAGGTATGATTAATGTGTGGATTATGTCTAAATGTATTTTTTTCTTCTTCTTCTCCTTCTTCTTCTTATTCTTATTCTTCTTCTTTTGATATGTGAATGTAAATATTCAAGCCAAATTCTGTTCGCTGTTAATGTCTTCTTCTAGTATTGGGGATGAGAGTAATTTTTCTTTTTCTTCTTCTACTTCAACTTTGTCTTCTTCTTCTCTTTCTTTGTAATGATTGTTCCTTACACTTCCAGGCCAACAAGCGCCGAGGTTCAGACAGCAATAGATGGCATCCCTTTCAAACTGGGATCCAACGTCCTGTTACAAGGAGACGCAGATAGTTGCGACATCAGCTCTATTTCGCAGATGATCCACAGAATCAATAGCTTTAACTGGGATGAATATGAATACAGCTTCCAACTGGAAAAAAGTGTTTTGCAAGAGTTCAGCACAAGAGAACAGCCAGATCCGGAGTAAACTTTTTTTTTTTTTTTGTTCTTTTCTTTTTTATTTCCCCTTTGCATAATGTTAATACCAACATTTTTCTTTTACTTTTATGTTCCTGAAAATCTCACAAATCCTGGAATGATGAATGTTGAAATAATAATGTCCAATAATGACTGAAACATGAAATGAAATGACTTGTAATACCATTACATATTCCTAATTTTTATTAGTATCATTTGCTCTAATCTGTTTATAGAATTCACAAAGTTGTTTTTTAATACTCATTAGAATATGTCTCTTGATTATTATAAAAAAAAAAAAAAAAAATGGCTGAAAAATCCATTGCCATTTTACCTACATTAGTGGAATGTTTCACCATTTTTTTATTTTTCTATTTTTTCCTGTATTTTTTTCTTAATACTTTTTTCTTCTTCCTTTTCATCTTTGTCATAAGTTTCTGTTTCCTTTCTTTTTGTTTATTAATTTGTCTAATTGTTTTCAGATTTATTTAGATTTTATACAGATAATTTGATTTATATGAAAATTCTATGTAAGCTACATACATTAATATTAATATTGATATTGTATATGAATATGTATGTTTATATTATGTGAGCATTATTATATATTGATATCAAGTTTGTATGAATATTACGTATTTGTTAATATTTACAGGAATATTATATATCAGTATCAATGTTTTCATCAATATTATACCCTCAGTATATTTAATTACTTAATTACAATTTATTTTCTCTGACTCTACATCTAGACCAACACTTAGTAGTATACCCTTCTCAGGCTTATTATAAATATAGACTTACATTTTATACCCTTTATACAATGGTCTTCACATGATTCTCCACAAAGAGAATTAAAGCTCTTACGCAATGAGTCGTCTTCTCTGGTAGTTTCTAGTTATTAGAAAGAGAAGTGTATAAGGTTTTATATTTATGTATCGTGTGTGTGTGTATGTGTGTTTGGGGTTTGTTTTTTGTTTGTTTTTTATTTGTTTGTCATAGCTTTTGACAGTTTATGCAGTAACAAATTTCTGATCATTGCCTTTAAACTTATGTAAATAGATATATTGACTTTGCTAGATATTCTCATCTCATTATGCAATGCTCCATGTAAGGTCAATTTGCTTATGAGGTCCCGTTACCCTGGTTTTATCCAATTTTTGCCTGTTATTTTCTCCATATAGTACTTAATTTCCTGTGAATTGGAAGAAACTAATAGTGTAAAGGGAACCAAATAGTTGCAATAGTTGATATCAGAGTGAATGTGGAATGAAATTCTATTTAAATGAAGTTAGTCTTGTGAACAAAAACTTAACCCACCCAAGGTTAATTACAGTGTTTGTTTGTATTCACTCTATGGTAAAGAAGCAAAGAGAGAGATTGTCATGAAATGTGAACATGAGCAGATAGAGAATAAACCAATGGATTGGTTGTTTAGAGTAGTAAAGATTAATAATCACTTTTGTAATGTTTTCTGTATATATACTG